TGATTGCTCACCCTTTGGGTTCTACCGCCCGCTTTGTGCCATTTTCAGGGCTGTCTGGAAGCCGACTGCAAATCATCTTTTTCATGCTTCCTCTTAACTTGTGCATACATTATTTTGGACTTCGAAGATGAAACACAGTGTTAGCTTCAAAGGGTAGATGAATACAAATACTGGCGAGTGCTTCTTTTTTCATTTTGGTATTTGGCAGGAGTCTCTTCTTGCTAGCGTTCCAAGGTATGACTGAGGATCACATTTTCCTTAATGGACTTCACTGTTCCTACTTTTGGTCAAAATGGCCTCCAAAAATGTGTACGGCAACTCCAAATGGCTGTGGATGTGATTTATTGACTCCCCACTTTGGCATACATAATCCTTTGTAAGAGAGTAATTGCGTTTAAAGAATGATATGAACCAGAATAATAGTTAATTTTAGGGTGGATTCTTTTATTCTTTTTTTTTTTTTTAATTTGGAAACAGGAGACAAGGTCTGCTGTGTAGGCCTAGCTGGCCTGGAACTCACTCTGTAGACCATGATGGCCTTGAACTCAGAGATCCACCTGCCTCTGTCTCCCAAGTGCTAGAATTAAAGGCATGAACCACCATATACTACCTTTCCCCCTTGACTCTTATAGATTCCAATTTCCTATGCTACTTTGTAATTCAGCTCTGAGGATTATTGCTATCTCAGAAGTCATGCTAAGTATTTTTCTTGTCTGTTTTAGGAATACTTCTATTCTCTGGCTAATACCTTTGTTTTGAGATTCAACTCAAGTTAGCAGTGATAATTCAAAAATTAATAGTTCCTTCAAAAAATCTTTTCTGGTTGTGTTATGGTGGTTTGTATCTCTAATCTGAACACCTGAAGCACTGACACAGAAGGATCACACATTTTGGTACAGTGTAGGCTACACAGGGAGACCCTGTCCCAAAAAGGAAGACCAAACAAAAAATAAATAAAAATACTTCCTTACTCAAAGACTCTTGTTTAGCTATGTGTGTGGTAGTATACACTTTTAATCCCAGCACTTGGCAGGCAGGGTCTTCTGTGAATTCAAGGCCAAGCTACTCTACACAGTGAGCCCATGTCTTAAAAAAAAAAAAAAAAGAAAAAGTTGTTGCTCTTTGAGCCTTTAGTCTTTATAATAAACGTCATTATAACTACCACATCCTCTTTATTAATTATATTAGACTCTCTAAATATGGGTAATATACTTATTAAATCGATGTTTATTTTTTGTATATGAGGCAGGTATGCATGGAGAATGTGTTGGTGGTCAGAGGAATTGGTTTCTTCCACCATGTGCGTGATTGAACCCAGGTTGTCAGGCTTAGCAACAAGAGCTGTTACCTGCTGAGCCATCTCTCTGGATCCATTAAATCAGTTTTTAGCATCCTCAGCAGACTGTTGATGGAGTTTCGATGTGGAGTCTGGAACTTTGTTTTGAAATTCCCATTTTTGAAAAGACACAGTTTTCAATGTATGTGCTTTAGTTTTATTATTTACATATTTCAAAAGTTAGCTATTTGAAGTTGAGCAAGGCTTTTTTTGTTTTTGTTTTTTGAGACAGAGCTTCTCTGTGTAGGCTGTCCTGGAACTCACATTGTATACCAAGCTGGCCTCTAACACAGAGATCCGTCTGCCTCTGCCTCCTGAGTGCTGGGATTAAAGGTGTGGACCACCACTGCGTGCCTTGAGCAAGGCTTTTTAATTGTGGTAAACTACCTTCGTGACCATTTTTGTTTTTCTCTTTTTCCTTTGGTGTGGCCTAGCTCTACATTCTGGGCACAAAGCATTCTTTTGCCTCTGTTTCTTGATTAGCTGAAATTACTGACACATGTTACATCTTAGATGTTTTTGCGTTAAGTTCTCTGTCACCTAAATTCTTTGACATTTTTGCACAACCGTCATTATTTCCAGAATCTATTCATTCTCAATGGCTAGAGACTCTATGCCTTCAAAACATCTCCCCATGTCTTCTTGCCCAATTAGCCCCTGCCAACCAGCATTCTCTTAAAGATTTTTTACTTCCTTGAGTACCTTGTATAAAATAGAATTGCATCAAATTTGCCCTTTTATGATTTGTTTGTCTCACCTCACATCCTGTCTCCACGATTCATGTGTTGTGATTTATGTAAGAATTTTTGTATTTAAAATGGAATATTTTAGAATGAGCTTTTCCCAGTATGTCCCCTTCCCTCTCTTATCCCCTCCCCTTTCCATTTTAATTCTTCTGCCCTTTGCTATAGAGATCAAACCTAGAGCCTTATACTTGATAGGCCAGTGCTCTGCTACTTCCCTGCCCCTTTCTCAAAATTTGTCTGAATGACGCTGCTCTGAAGTACACATGTAGCTGTTTTGAGTCCTTGTTTCTATATTTCTAGGAAGAGATTAATATGGTTATTATGTGCTTAAACTTTTTTTTTTTTTTTTTTTTTTTTTTTTGCGCTTGGTTTTTTTTGGTTTTCCTGTTGTCCTGGAATTTACTCTGTAGAGCAGGCTGTCCTCAAAGAGACCCCCTGCCACTGCCTTCTTAGTGCTGGTGTGTGCCACCACAGAACAGCTAGAAATTTTTTTCTTTTATGTACATTGGTGTTTTGCAACAGAACTGGAATTACAGATAGTTGTGAGCTGCCATGTGGGTGCTGGCAATGGAACCTAGGTCTTCTGGAAGAGCATTCAGTGCTCTTAACCACTGAGCCATCTCTCCAGCCCGTTTTTCTACATCCTCACTACCCTTTATTATTTTCCGTTATAAGAAATATTTGGGGAGGGGGAGCAGCAAAGTAAAAGTGCTTGTTGTGTAATCTGAGTTCTGTCCCCAGTACCCACCCACATAGTGGAGGAAGGAGAGACAACTCAAGCAAGTTGTCCTCTGACCTCAGCATGCTTGCAATAGTATATGCACCCCCATACACATACATGTATATCCACTCAGTAATAACTAAAAAATGTAATAAAAAAGTAAAAGATACTTTTTATGCTGTGCTTGCAGGCATGTGCACTCAGAAAGCTGAGGCAGGAGAATTGCCAGTTTGAGCCCAGTCTCAGCTATATACTAAGACTAAATCTCAAAACCCCAAGTAATTGGGAAAGAAAAAGACCATAGCTGTTACATGTAGCCAACATACCTTTGGATTTTTGTATACTTGAGTATCTCTTTACTTGGGAAACAACCTTTCATTTCTTGTACACCTTTTTTATGATTTAGATTTCTAATACTTTCTCAAAAAATGGTGTCAGTGAGTGCACAAATGCCAGTTCATGCATGTTCAGGCACATGCTTGGAGGTCAGAAAACAGTTACTTTTGGGAGTTGGTTCTGTCTTTCCCCTCTGAGATTGGGGACTTGAATTCTGGTCATTAGGCTTGTAAGCCAAGCATCAAGCTTTTATTTACTGAACCGTCTCATGGGCCCCAAAACTGTTACCACTTTTTTTATCTTCCTTCCTTCCTTCCTTCCTTCCTTCCTTCCTTCCTTCCTTCCTTCCTACCTTCCTTCCTTCCTTCCTTCCTTCCATTCATCCATCCCCTATTGAGGCAGGTCTCCTGTAGTTCTTGCTGGCCTGAACTCTGTAGAGAGGCTGGCCATGAACTCAGGGTTTGACCTTCCTCTTCCTCCTGAGTGCTAGGATTGAAAGTGTGCAAGCACATACCCAGCCTGAATTATAGTAACTTAACCTGTTCTAAATGCTCTCTTATTCCTCAAGATTTTTCTTTTCTTATTTTTAAGAGAGGGTTTCTCTGCATACCCCTGGCTGTCGTGGAACTAGCTCTGGCAGGCCAGGCTGGCCTTGAACTCACAGAGATCCACCTGCCTCTGCCTCCCAAGTACTGGGATTAGAGGTCTGTACCACCACCACCCCACTGAGTTTTTTTTTTTTTTTTTGTCATAAACTCTCTTTCTATCTCTCTGTTTCAACAGTATATATTGCTTTAAAAAGTGGTTCTCAACCTGTAAAACGTGTACATTATGATTCGTAACAGTAGCAAAATTACAGTTATGAAGTAGCAATGAAAATAATTTTATGGTTGGATGGGTCAAAACAACATGAGGAAATGTACTAAAAGGTCACAGCATTAGGGAGGCTGAGAACACTGCTTTAAGTGGTTCTTAGGCTAACCACATCATGAAGGCCAGGAACTGTATTCTGGGAAATAGTTCAGTGTGATCAGAGGTTCACCTTAATTTACAGAGATGGTTGGAGTATGGTTTAGAATACTTGGGTAGTATTTATTAACCAATTTTGTGACATTAATGGATCAGTCAGCTTCTCCAGTCTGTCTCTCCCTTCTCTGCTCCCTGTCCCATTTGCTCTTTTCCCCTTTTCCCTTTCCTTCCCTCCCCTCCTTTATCCTGCAGTGCTGGGAATTTAGCTCATGTTATCTGTATGCTAGGCAGATGCCTTACCACTGAGTTTATAATTAATAAAATGCTTGTATTTATATAATGAGAACCTGAATTAGATCCAGTAAAGTTTTGTTTTAGATTCATTGCATGTATATTACTTATTTGGGGAATAAAAAAATGAAGGACTTTCTTCTGTTTGGAGGGTGGAATTGAGATAGGATCTCTGTGTAGTCTTGGCTGGCCTGCAATTCACCGAGACAGTTATTTCAGCCTCGCAGTGGTAGGGCCTGGAATATTTTTATTCCCTAAGGGATTTTCTAAATTTGAGGTCAATCAGTTAAAAAAGTATGTAGGTGAAAAATAATTATGTTTTTGTTTACAGTTACAGTAAAATGGGGAAAGGAGAAATTTGAAGGTGTAGAATTGAATACTGATGAATCTCCAATGGTGTTCAAGGCCCAGCTTTTTGCACTGACTGGAGTCCAGCCAGCCAGACAAAAAGTTATGGTGAAAGGAGGTACACTGAAGGTAAAAGTGATCTAAAATTTCATTAATCCTGCTTATGTAATTATTGCTAGAAAATATGATTATTGCTAATGTAGATATTTTGGAGACACAGTCTTTTCGGGGAGGGCGGTTTTTGAGACAGGGTTTCTCTGTGGCTTTGGAGGCTGTCCTGGAACTAGCTCTTGTAGACCAGGCTGGTCTCGAACTCACAGAGATCTGCCTGCCTCCTGTTTAAACTGTTCTATTGATGTTGTGTGTGTGAAGAACATCATGTCTATTTCAAAAATGCAATATTACAAAGTGTCATTTACAATTTTATTCAGTAGATACCTCAAGTGATCAGGACTATATATAGCATCTTACAATTATCTGTAGTGTTAGATTTTTTTCTGTGATGTTAAGTTTATTTTCGTTTGGACTAGTACAAAATGGATTTGTATATCTTTAGTAATTTCATGTACAGGGATGGACAATTTTATCTGTTAAAAATATACAACCAGGGCTACAGAGGTGGAGCCATAGCTAGGAACATTTGTTACTCAGGTTCAATTCCCAGCACCCACCTGGAGGCCACAACTGTCTGTAATTAGAGTCCCAGGGGATCTGATGCCCTCTTCTGGTTTTCCAAGGTGCAAGGCATGCAAAACACTCATTATACACACAAACTATAGATTAATAAAAATGCAACAGTAGGGATAATTTGCATTTTAAAAACATTGTAATATATATTTTTGTAGTGTATTTGAATGTTGAAATTGAGTTTAACATCTTCATCAAATCCCTGGTTTTCAAATGATGGGACACTTTTATCCATTCCCCCACCCTTCTCAGTCTACATTTTAAAGAAGAATCTTTTTCTCTTAAGAGTAATTACTTTAATACCAGCACTCAGGAGGCAGAGACAGGTTAATCTCTGAGGTCAATTCCAGCCTGGTGTACAGAGTGAGTTTCAGGACAGCCATGGCTACACAGAGAAACCCTGTCTTAAACTTGCCCCCCCTCCCAAAAAAAGGGAATTAATTTCTGTCAGGCCTGGAGAGATGGCTCAGTGGTTAAGATTACTGGCTTTTCCCCCGGAGGACCGGGTTCAATTTTCAGCACCTACATGGCAGTTTACAATTGTAACTCCAGGGGTTCTGGTACCCCTCACACAGATGTAATGCAGGCAAAAACACTTATGCACATAAAAAAATTTAAAAAGTAATTGCTGTATAACTTCAATCTAGATATGGGAGGAAAAACATTAAAAGGAGATAAAAGCTATTTTCACCTTTAGTTCCTTTGGAATGGTCACACAGAACTTACTATAAAGTTCCAGCTTTTATTATGGCCTTTGTTAAAGGCCATAAAAATGATAGTTTCTGGGCTGGAGATGTGGCTCATTGGTTAAGAGCACTGACTGTACTTCCAGAGGTCATGAGTTCAGTTCCCAGCAACCACATGGTGGCTCACAACCACCTTGAATGAGATCTGGTGCCCTCTGCTGGCATGCGGGCAGAAGACATAATAAATAAATAAATAAATTTCTAAAAAAAAAAAAATGATAGTTTCCTCTCCCCCTTACTGTTTATAATACCACACAAGGCTAGCAGAAACATATTTTTGTCTGGTTGATGTGACATTCTGAAAGATATGTCCAGGCTGTTTGTTGGGTATAGATAGAGGAGTTGATGGAAACTTTTTTACTTCCCAAATTCTTTGAACCTTTGGCTTTCAGGGACTTGGATAACTAGTTTGTGCTGTGATGTGTCCTGTTAGTATACTTTGGATGATAGCAGAAAATACTAAAGAAAAATAAAACCTAATAATAATTAACATTTACTGCCTATATCTTCTATATTAGGCTATATTATATTAATGATTTTTCATTACTTTCCAACTGTAGTTTTATTTTAAAACTAAGGGAGCAGAGTGTGAGAGAGGTTTAAGTTTAATGGGCATCAAAGTATGATGTATACAACAAGTCTGGATTAAATTTCTAGTTTTGGGGCAGGCATGTAAATTTATTTTGAGGTAGTTTCAAAATTTAATAATTGTTCAGAGGTGGTTAAACATTTTTGTTTGTCTTTGAAATAGGATGATGACTGGGGAAACATCAAAATGAAAAATGTAAGTATTAAGAACACTCATTACAAAGAAATGATCCAATTATTTCACCAAAATAAATCCCAAGAGTTCCTTTTAAATGTGTATTTCCAGTTATTCATCACCATTTATTTATAATTCTTTTCCCCCACCAACTTGTTTTAGTCTTTCTTGAAAATCGGCTACATGTCTATCCGTGAGCTCTTGTCTCATTGATCTAGTTGATTAAAGTTATACTAGTATCATGTGATCTTGATAACCAAAGCAGATAACTATGAAATAAGATACTGTGGGTTCTCTATACTTTTGCTCTTTTCAAAAATGTTTTTTAATTCAGTATTAATTTTAGAAGTCAAGAACCTACATTCGAGTATGGCATGTTTCCGATTTTGTTTAGGTCTTTATTTGTCATAGCAGAGTGGTGTTTTAGTATAGAGATTTGCCTGGCTTTTTTTTTTAGATTCTTAGAATTTCTTAAATGATTTATTTTATGTACCTTGGTGTTTTGTTTGAATGTATGTCTGTGTGAGGGTGTTGGACCCCATGGAACCAGAGTTACTGACAGTTGTGAGCTGCCATGTGGGTGCTGGGAATTGAACCTGGGTCCTCTGAAAGAGCAGTCAAGTATTCTTAACTGCTAAGCCATCTCTCCAGCCCCAGATTCTAAGAATCTAATGTTCTGTTGCTGTCGACAACAATAGTTTTAAAAATTGTTTCATAATGTTCTTGGCTAGCATTTAAAAATACAATTGATTTTTTTCTATGTTTATGTTTATTCTGTGATCTTAATTCACTTAATTGTTCTGGTAATGTTCTTAGAGATTGCTTTGAGGTCTTTACATACACAGGGATAGTATCTGCAAATAATATTTACTCTTCCCCTTTTTGTTATCATGACTTTTTTTGAGTTGTAATTAATAAACAAATGACTTCTGGTTTTTTGTTTTGTTCTTTGTTTTCCCCTAAATTCTTGTTGGAATTTATAGTATACTGTTAAGTAGAAAATAGTGAGAGTGGACATTTTAATGCACTAAGATTTAAATTTATAAATGACTGTTAAATGTGTTAAGTCCTTTTTCTTTTTGTTAAAACGATCATCTGACTTTCTTTTTATGGTTTGTTCAATTTCACTGTTGCCTGTCATCCATCCTCTGTCCTTGGTTCTTGGGATGGAGCCTTGGGTCTAGTGCATGCTAGGCAAGCTTTTTACCATTGAGGGTCACGCCATTTGTACCCACCCCCACCTCCCAATATTTCTAAATGTTCTCCCAGGGTGATTCTGAACTCCTGAGCTCTGGCAGTCTTGCTTCAGCCTCAAAAAAGGAATTAATATTGTGTGTGTGTGTGTGTGTGCAGGGTATAGTATACATCCTTTAATCCCAGCACTCTGGAGGCAGATATAGATAGATCTCTGCAAAGTCCAGGTCAGCCAGGGCTATTGTGTCAAAGATAAAAAACGTGCAGTTAACCCTAAAGGGTTGTTGTGGACTTTATTCATTGATATTTACCATATTGAGATACTAAAATTGAAATATTCAAAGGTATTATTCTTGTAACAATAATTGCAAAGGGAGTTGGCAGTTGGCTCTGCAAGTAATGGTGCTTGCAGCCAAACCTGGGGACCTTAGTTCAATCCCTGGAACCTATATGGTAGAAGGAGAGAAGTGACTTCTGCAAATTGTCCTCTGGCCTTCACATGTGGTACACACAGACATACAAACTCACACATTCTCACTCATTCATACAAATACAAATAATTGAAAATCATAAGTAAAAGTTTGAGAAAAGTGTCTAACCCAGATTCTGACTGAGCATTTGCAGGAGTGATTGTCTTCAGAACTGGCATCCTCAGTGGATTGTAACAATTAGCTCTTCTCATTATAATGCAGTGTATCAGGCATATTCAGAGGTGCAGATTTAAGAAAGCAGCTTACTGTATAGTCCTGGCTGGCCTGGAATTCTCTTTGTAGACCTTGAACTCACAGATTTGTCTTCTGGGCTTGTAGGCATGTGACACCAGGCCTGGCTGTGAAAATATTTGTGAGTTGATAATTTTGAAAGAATCACAGGGACCAGTGAAGATTGATGGACAGCACCTAAAATACTGTGACTGTTTGAGAGAACATATTTACCTCCTTAATGTATTGTGGGTTCTATTTCTTAATTAGGATGCTAGCATGTGTGATTGTGAGGCATGTTAGCCTTCATTTTATATTGATTTATTTACTTGAGACAGTGTCAAATAGCTCAGGTTGGCCTTGAACTCTTTATTCTTTTTGTTTGTTTGTTTTTCGAGACAGGGTTTCTCTGTGTAGCTTTGGAGCCTATCCTGGAACTTTATAGACCAGGCTGGCCTTGAACTCCTCACAGAGATCCTCCTGCCTCTGCCTCCCGAGTGCTGGGATCAAAGGCGTGTGCCACCATACCTGGCTAGTCTATATTTTTATTTTACTATGTATTTCATTTTATTGTCAATTATGCTTAACTCATTAAGAGAGTTGGAGAAATATTTCTCCCTTCTGAATGAGTTAAAGATTATATGTTTTTTACATATATGAAATAATTTGCCAATGAGCTTTTTTGGACTAGGAAAACCTTGTGGGAATTTGTGTGGTTGATTTTAATTTCTTTAACAGACTTATATTGGTTTTTGCTTTTTTTAAACATTAGTTTCGGTGAGGATATTTTCATGGGGTAGGGAAAACATTGAACATCAGTCCTTGCCTTCCACTGTGTTTGAGCCTGGGTCTCTTTGTTTGCTACTGTATATGCCAGGCTAGTTTGTCCCTTTAGCTTCTGGAAATTTTCCGGTGTCTCTCTCCCTTCTTGCCTAGGAACACTGGGATTAAAAATGTGTGCTACTGTGCATGGTTTTACATGGGCTCTGGTGATTCGATCTTGGGTCCACTTGCTTGCATGGCAAGTGCTTTGCCTTTGAGTTACTTATCTTCCCAGTCCTAGAGGATAACTTTTTGGTTTTTTGAGACATGGTTTCTCTGTGGCTTTGGAGGCTGTCCTGGAACTAGCTCTTGCAGACTAGGCTGGTCTGGAATTCACAGAGATCCACCTGCCTCTGCCTCCCGAATGCTGGGAATAAAGGCGTGCACCACCAACGCCCGCCAGAGGATAACTTTTAAAGACCTCCTATGCCATAGATTTGCAGATTATCCTGCTTCTGTCTCCCAAGTTCTAGGGTTAGAACCTATAGGTGTGTGCCATCATGCCTAGCTTAATACTCTTTCCTGTTTTCTTACTGATTATTAATGGTGTATTTAAATATTTGCTTGCTTAGACAGCTTTGAAAAAAATTTCATTAGTGATGGTTTAGTATTGCTTTACTATTATAAAAAGTCTATGGAGATCCCCCAGAGCCACTCTTCCTTTTCCCTACAGAAAAGAGCAGGCCTCAGAGATATCAACCAAACACACCATAGGAAGTTACAATAAGATTAGGCACATACCCTCATACAGAGATTGGATGAGGCAACCCAGTAGGAGGAAAAGGGTTCAAGAGCAGGCAAAAGAGTCAGAGACAACCACACCAAGCTACACAAACATAACATATATGCAGAGGACCTAGCTTAGACCCATACAGGCTGTCTGATTGTTGCTTCAGTCTCTATGAGCCCCGCTTTGATTCTGTGGGCTGTGTTCTTGTGGTGTCCTTGACCTTTCTGGCTCTTACAATTCTTTCTTGGGGTTACCTGAGGCCCACTTAAAAGTTTGGCTGTGGGTCTTTGTATCTGCTCCCATCAGTTGCTGGATGAAGCCTCTGTTGACACTTGGGCTAGGTAGTGATCGTGATCTATGAGTATAGCAGAATATCATTAGGAATTATTTCATTGACTTTTTTCATGTTTGGTTCTATCCTGGATCTCTGGGCTATCTATCTTGCCTCTGGTTCCTGGCCATCCAGGAAGTGTCAGGTGTGGGCTCCCTCTCATGGTGTGGGTCTCAAGTTGGACCAGTCATTGGTTTTTGTTGTTTTGAGACAGGACATAGCTGTCCTGGAACTTGCTATGGAGACCAAACTGGACTAGATGTCAGCACTTGGCCTCCTTTAAGGTTATAATGCTGCTCTTCTTACTAAAGAAACAGAGGCCCATTTAAAGTCACTCTCTCCAGCTACCACCAGGGCTAGAATGCCATGAATCTATTCTGTGTAGATTTCCCTTTTTTTTGGCTACTAGAACCATGCTGTAGTATGAGTTCTTTTGAATTTCCCTTTATTGAACATAACATTGTCAACTTTTAAGTATTTTCATGAACTTATTTCTTTTGTAACAGGGAATGACTATACTAATGATGGGGTCAGCAGATGCTCTTCCAGAAGAACCCTCAGCTAAAACTGTCTTCGTAGAAGACATGACAGAAGAACAGTTAGCAACGGCTGTAAGATTTTATGTTGGGTCACTGCTTTTTGAAGGACAGTTACTAAGATGTCTTCCAGAAAGTAGTATCTAAAGGGCTTGATTTAATTATTAACATTGATATATGTTAGCAATGAGCAGAATTTTAATATTTTTGAAACTAGCTTTAATTTGTCCCATGACAGGTCATCATAAAACTCAGGAGTTCTGTGATATTGTATACTTTGATTTTATAGTTTTTCTTTATTTACAAATGGTTTTAACTTGAGCTTATTTATATTTAGCATTAAATATAATATTCCTAATTCAGAGCTTATGCTTTTACACCTCAAAGCTATGAGATATTAAAGACTATTTTACAGATGAAGATATTATATAATGCACACATAAATGTATAAATATGAATTGATATACAGTATTTATTGCGAAGATAATTCTATTGAAACAGTTGCTACTTATGAGAAAACAGGATCAAAGAGAAGTTTAAATGGTAGGATATTTAAATTATTAAAACTTCCTGAGTTAAATACAGTTTATCCTTTTTTTTTTTTAATGGTACTGAGGATCAAACTAAAGCAAATACTCTCCCACCCAGCTATGGCCCAGCTCCTATTCCAAAAGTAAATGCAAAATCAATATAGAAGATGGTCAAGACTTGTCAAATTAAAATAAATACACATCTAGTACTATATACATTTTTTGGAAGTGAAGGGATCTTTGAGACTGAGACTCACTATGATACCCAGACAATCTTGAATTCATGATGTGCCTTTCTTCGGGATTGCGGGCATGCACTATCAAGCCCAGTTCATTTGTATGTTTGTTTTTGTATATTTGTTCTGAAGTCTATCTATTGCATGTTTTCCTACCTGTTTTCTTGCCAAGCCTGTCAAAGATGTAGAGCTGACAGGCTTGTGCTCCTATTTTCTAGAAGAGAGTTAAAACAGAGTTGTTGCCAGCATGATGCAAGTAAACTTTTCTGTTAGGGGAAATGAAAGAATACTGTTTTAGTGTGAAGTTAGAATATTAGTTGTCAGGACTGACTGGTAAATGATTCTTCTGTGATTTGTGTTTATGTATGCCATGTCTTTTTATAAATGTGTTAATCCTACTCCATCCCCTTTTATCAGATGGAGTTACCATGTGGATTGACAAACCTTGGTAACACTTGTTACATGAATGCTACAGTTCAATGTATTCGTTCTGTGCCTGAACTCAAAGATGCCCTTAAAAGGTAAGACTGAAAAGCTGTTTAAGTCTCTGGGTAAAGGAAGTTCTCTTCTGGACCAGTGGCATTACTTTCTTTCATAGCATCTTCATTGCTCTTAATGCATTCAATGGTTTTTATTCACAGAATTGTACGACTGCTACCGTGCTAAGTTTTGAAAACCTCCCCTCTCTTAAGAAAGCAAATGTGGCCAGCGTGGTAGTGCACACCTTTAATTCCAGCACTAAGGAGGAAGAGGCAGGTGGAACTCTGGGTTCAAGACTAGCCTGGTTGACATCTGAGTTCTGGGCCAGCCAGAGCTACATAGTGAGACCCTGTCTCAGAGAGAGAGAGAGAGAGAGAGAGAGAGAGAGAGAGAGAGAGAGAGAGAGAGAGAGAGAGAGAGAGAGAGAGAGAGAGAGAGAGAGAGAGAGAGAGAGAGAGAGACAGACAGACAGACAGACAGACAGACAGACAGACAGGTATACACACACACACACACAGAGAGAGAGAGAGAGAGAGAGAGAGAGA